AAAGAAAGCAGGGATGGCTATATTAATACATAAAGTAGACTTCAAAAAATTTTTCATGTTTACTTTTGAGAGAGACAGACATAGTGTGAGCAGGGGAGGGGCAGAGAAAGAAGGGGGCAATTTGAAGCAGGCTTCAGGCTCTGAGCTGTCAGCATAGGACATGGGGCTTGAACCCATGAACCATGAGATCATGACCTGAGCTGAAGTTGGAAGCTTAAATGATTGAGCCACCCACACACTCTTATAAAGTAGACTTTAAAGCAAAGCAAGTTTCCAGAGTCAAGGAAGGATATTCTATAGTGATAAAATGGTTAATCTAACAAGAGGAAATAGAAATACTTAAGAATTTTTTTTAATGTTTATTTTTGAGAGAGAGAGAGAGAGAGAGAGAGACAGAGTGCGAGCAGGGGAGGGGCAGAGAGAGAGGGAGAGGGAGACACAGAATCTGAAGCAGGCTCTAGGCTCTGAGCTGTCAGCACAGAGCCTGATGTGGGGCTCTCACTCATGGTCCATGACCTGAGCCAAAGTCAGATGCTTAACTGACTGAGCCACCCAGGTGCCCCAGGAAATAGTAATACTAAATGTGTATATACCATTGAATACAGCTGAGACATATGAAGCAAAAACTAATTTAACAGAACATTAAAAGAAGAAATAGACCAATCCACAATTGTAGCTGGAAACTTTCATGCCCCTTTCTCAACAATTGATAGTATAATTACATAGAAAATCAGCAAGGACATAAAATAACAGTGATACAATCAGTGGATAGGATCTAACCAAGATTTCTAGAACAATTACCCTACAACTGCAGAATATCCATTCAAGTAGTCATGGAAAATATACCAATGGAGACCACATCCCACACCATCATATAAACCTCAGTACATTTAAAAAGTTTTAATTGTATATAGTCTCCAGCAACAGTGGAGTCACACTGGAAATCCATAACAGAAATAAAATAGGAAAATCTCCAAACACTTAGAAATTAAACAACACACTTCTAAATAATCCATGGGTCATAGGGCAAGCCTCGAGGTAAATCAAACAGTGCACTGAACTGAATGAGAATGAAGACGTAGATGAATGTGTTACCAGCGAGGAGTGGCCCACATGGCATCCTCCCGTGCCCCAGGGCCAGATGCTCGCTCCAGGTAACCAACTCCCCACTGGGACACCATGTATAAGAAAATCAGAATAAATGCTTGATTCCGTGTTATGTTCTAAGCAAAAGTGATAGTGCAATAGACTCTTACAGAAATGCCTCATGCCTCATTCTTTTTAATAGCTGTTTAGTAGTCCACACTGTGGACTTTATCAAACAGCATGTTTGTTTTTTTTGTTTTAATTTTTTTTTTCAACGTTTATTTATTTTTCGGACAGAGAGAGACAGAGCATGAACGGGGGAGGGGCAGAGAGAGAGGGAGACACAGAATCGGAAACAGGCTCCAGGCTCTGAGCCATCAGCCCAGAGCCTGACGCGGGGCTCGAACTCCCGGACCGCGAGATCGTGACCTGGCTGAAGTCGGACGCTTAACCGACTGCGCCACCCAGGCGCCCCCAAACAGCATGTTTAATAGTAGTGCTTTTTGACTCTTTGCTGACTGATGAAAATTTGTCCAACTCTGTCCTTTCTGTTTTTTCCCTTGTCATTGTGTTGGGTATAAAAAAGAGGGACAGGGAAGTGTCTCCTGACTACACAAAATGTCGTTGTTAGTTCTCTTATGAAATACATCTTGGCAGGCCTTGAGCATGTTGGCCACCTTCCTTCCTGCAGGCTTGTTTCTCATTCAATAAGCCAGTCATACTGATGAGGGTTCTGTGGTATCTTGTGTGGATTTTTCATTATTGATGGCCTTCATGCCTTCCTACGTGTTTTGAATGAAGATCTATTCCCCTGCACTAACACTCAGAGATTGCTTCTTTATCTCTTTTCCTGAGAACTTTAGCTGCACCTTGGCCTTTTGGGATTATTGGGGCAGACATTTAGAACTTGCAGTTTTGGGGGCACCTGGGTGGTTCAGTTGGTTAAGCAACTGACTCTGGATTTTGGCTTAGGTCATGATTTCACAGTTGGTGAGATCAAGTCCTAAAAGTTTGTTAGTGTAACATTAAGCATTTAAGGCCATGGAAATACTGCGACCCTGCTGTGGAATGAAGAATAGACAGTGGCTTAGTCTGTGACTGTTTCTAAGTACCTGGAAATGCTTAGAAAACATGAACTTCTGACCACATAGTTAAAATTTGCAAGTCAACCCAAAGCTATCTACACATTCAATGCAATCCCAATCAAAATTGCACCAGCATTCTTCTCGAAGCTAGAACAAACAATCCTAAAATTCATATGGAACCACAAAAGGCCCCGAATAGCCAAAGTAATTTTGAAGAAGAAGACCAAAGCAGGAAGCATCACAATCCCAGACTTTAGCCTCTACTACAAAGCTGTTATCATCAAGACAGCGTGGTATTGGCACAAAAACAGACACATAGACCAATGGAATAGAATAGAAGCCCCAGAACTAGACCCACAAATATATGGCCAACTGATCTTTGACAAAGCAGGAAAG